AGCATCTTCATCAGTTTGATCTGGTAACGTGTTGCCTTTTTCCTTTTAAACGCCCTGGCTGCCCTGGCCATTTTTTCACCTTGCCTGCGGGTCTTGCCCGTGTCTCGTGGAAGGCTATGGTCTGAAGAGGATGTTGTTTGGGCAGTGATTGTGCAGGCTGGCGCAGGGAAGATAGGTTGAAGAGGATACGGGACACACAACTAGAGATTAGAGGGATTACACCTGCGTGGTGAGGTTGAAAGTCTAGCACATTGACCTGAGCGCAGTCCCCACATGGTCATGACTTATTTTGAAGATGATATCAAGCTCATTGATAAACCAGCAAAGGTTCCTTGCAACTATGAAGGTTGATTCGTTGCAGAATGTATCTAGATAGTTGCTTCACAAACACAACTCACAACTATATAACAAATCATTGCTTTCTTGTGCAGGAACCTGCAATGATCAAGAAGGCAGCTAAACCCCTCTGGGGCGAGAGGCAGCTTGTGCTGAAGGCATCGGTGCAATTGACTTTCAGACGCATCATCCCTCACTTGATACACACTAAGTATGAGACCAGCCTCGCTTGGCATTCAGTTTCTTGATCCTTCTTTATCCTTCTCAAGGATGCGAGCGAAGGTTGTTGCGGTTATGTGTATATGCATGTGCACATATCGGTGTTTGACGTTCTTGTTCCTACTGAACGGGTTGAGTGTTCTTTGGTCCTTTATCTATTGCTGCTTGCCCATGTCTAACGCATGAACTCATGACAACAAGGAGGTTCTGGTTTTACAAATTCCCAGACCTGTCAAATGCCCTGAACAGGACTCTAACCGATGCTTCATTCCCTCCAAGACTTTTGTATGAAAGACATCGATGCCCAACAAACTGTTGCTGTATGTATGACCTTGTATGACCAAAGTGCATGCAAGTGCCTCTGAAAATTCTGAAAGCCCGCAGAGTAGCCTTGCCATCGCTTGTACAGGCATGCCAAGGAGATTGGACGATCATGGACAGATGTCCAAAGGAACTAGAACGGATCTACTGGAAAGACAAGGACTTTGTCATCGCGGCGCTGTCTCAGTCCATCGATGCTTTGAGCCCTGGCTTCCTTGGAGAAACAGGAAGGTGGTACAAAAGCTTCTTGTGAGCTGGAGTGCTTTGGGGGTGTGCCGTGCTGAGGAAAAAGGTTCCAGAGTCCTACTGGGAGGACAAGGAAGTGATGCGTGTAGCAGTGAAGACCGACTACAAGGTGCCATAGCTGTGGATTTTGACAACGTTTTTTTCCTTGGATTGGTTGCAGATTTTGTTGGAATGATTTGTGCTTCGGTGAGATTATGAGGCAGATCAACTACTGCAATTATATGTGCACAATCAGCTCACTTGCATGCATCAGATTTCTGTCAAGCTTCGTGCTGGATGTTTGCTCAGGTGATCTACAAGTGCTCGAACTGGGCACAGAAGACATTGTGGGAGGACAACTAAACAGTGTTCAAATCATTCCATAAAATCCTCAAACGTCTTCAATCAGAGCTTGGATTGTTTGGATCAAGATTTTGCCATTTTGGACACCTAGTTTCCAAGCCTGGTTAAGTGCCCACACTGCGAAGGACCGTGATATCGTGCTCACTGCTGTGCAGCAGAACGGCCTAGTGCTTCCTGAGGCAGATGAAGATTTCATTTTCGATAAGGAGGTCTTGCATGCGGCTGTGAGGCAGAACTGGAAAGTGCACCTTGGCCATGTTTTTTTCCTTTTTTTTATATTACTCACCTCAACAGGTCCTAAAGAGACATATTGGAAAATATTGGATCTGTTTTGCACCTTGGTCTCCGGCGTTTAGGGGAAGTTGCCGTTGGGCGTCTCTGTGAGACGACTCCGGGATGAGTCATGCCCAGAGAGAGAGAGAGGGGTCCTAAAGACACATGCTGTCCTTTCGGGTGTTCACACATCTTGACTACAAACTCCTTATAGACATCATATTCACAAGGTATGTCGTAGTGACTTAGTGTTGGTTCAGGTTTTGCGGGTCCAATTCCGGTTTCTTGAAACCAGGATGGACAACCTGCCCAAAGTTCACAAGGAGGTGGCCTGGAATGATGAAATTTGTGCACGATGTGCCATTTTTGGAGGCTCTGAAGCTGCAAAGGCAGATCTTGAGAACTATGCCAAAGCAGGGAAGCGCCTCAAATCAAACAAAGATTTCACGATTGAAGTTCTGGTGCAAAACGGGAAGCTTCTGGAATTCGCTGATCCAAGTTTAAGGGACGATGAGGATGTCGTTCGGGCAGCTTTGCAACAAGATGGCTTATCCATTAAGTTCGCATCTGAACGCTTGCGGGGTGATTATGGCATGGCACGACTGGCCGTCGAGCGAGATCCAGGTGCTGTGATGTTTGTTGATGACAGGCTTCGAAAGGGAGGATCGAGCAGCCACTTGCTGGTAGACCCTCCTGAAGGCTTTGACGAATAGCGCTGAAGAGTAGCCATGTCAGGCGAGCTCGCGGCGAGATCGCGCTGCGGAGTGCAAAGTTCCTCCAGCAACCTCCAAGCCAAGCCACGTGCGTGGGCCTTTTTTGGACGAAGTTTGCAATTGCATGCCCGTCGAAGATGAAGCATGCCACATGTAGGATGTGCACGTATTTGCACCTTGGAGACTCTTGCAGCGTCAAAATGTGTCAAAGACGGCAATTAAGGGCAAATGGGATTACTGTAGTTCTGGCATGTTCGGGCCAAGCGCAAGAACATGCAAGAACAAAACGGTCAATGTTGGGAGGTGCTTCTACAAGATCATGCAAGATCTCACTTGCTTGCCCTAGCTCTTGTTATAGACCCGCTTGTGAACTAGAAAGTCCAGCACCCTCATTGCCAAATCAAGTCCCTTGGAATAGGCATCTGTTGGGCAGACGAAAATACTGGCCATCCTTGAAACTTATACAAGTTGCACTTGCAGGAGAAAGGAAAGGGCCGTGGCAAAGGCTACAAAAACCGTGAAGAGCAGCAATGTCGAATGCCTTAGTCTTGAGCAGCAATGTCGAATGGGCTGGACACCTTTGCAGACATTGACATTTGCAGACACCGATCTTTTGACCACTTGATTTGTGCGATTCTACTTGGCATCGATTACGAAGGCGGTTCCACTGATTTAGCTGTGAAGCAGTGCATGCAACCACCTATGTCAGCTTTATATATAATATATATATATATATGCGACATCATGTTTTGATGACAGCGTGTCAACCAGATTGCCAAACCAAACCCAGACACTGTTGAGCTAGGCTTCAACTGCAAGCAGTATGGCCATCGGTCGCGCGATTGCCCCGAACCTCCAGACGAGGCTGTTTGGCAGCTTGATTTACGGAAAGCAAAAGCTGTGCTTGGTCTTAGAGAGACCCTTTTGAGCGAATGGTGGATACTGGGTGGCCAGGAGCTTGTTCGCCAACGCTTAGCTGCCAAGGCAGAGAAGGACACACTCTTAAGGGTGGTGGGCAGGGGCTGCTTGTGGGTGGCTTTGACGACGCTCGACCTCCAAAGCAAGTCTAGAGTTGGCACCCGAAACAATGCTAGGGTCATAAAAACCTTTCATTGGAAAGAGCATGTTTTCAATCTACTGTATTTTAAAAAACAAGTCAAAAAAGTCAATCCCAAAAGTCAAAGTCAAAAACAAGTCAAATCAGAATGTTTCAGAAAGTCAAAAAAAAGTCAATTTGCCCAGATTCGACTTTTTTTGATTTGCTTTTTTTGACTTTTCGAGTGGATGACTTTTCTTGACTGGTTTTTGTTTTATATTTTTTCGATTTGTTTTTTGAATTTGACATTTTTTTTGCATTTTGTTTTCGACATTTTTTGATTTTTTGTTTGACTTGTTTTTTGACTTTTTCGATCTGTGGTCTATGGTTGACTTGTTGTTTATTTTTGACTTTTCAATTTGACTTTTTTGACTTTGACTTTTCCAGTTGGCTTTTTGTTGACTTTTTTTCGATTTTTTTTTTAATCAAGGATTCAGGCCTTAAAGCATATGAAAGTTCTTTTTGTTTTTCAACTAATGTTAGGGGTGACCTCACAGCAGCGGCAAAAGCATTGTATATATTATAATCCCACGGCTTCCCGCGTGCGTGCAGGAGCGACAGTCTCGTGGAGAGTAGTTGTGTGGCAGGCCAGGGTTTGCTTCCGCAAGTTGTTTTGGCATGTGTTGACTAGACTGCCTGGGCAGTAGGTCGGAAGACTCGAAGCAAGTTGCCAGCGGCAACTATGAGTGTGAGCGAGGGAGCCGAGGAAGCATGGATGGTATTCCGATGTCCAACTCATCACGGAAGAACAGAAAAGTGTCGCTATACACATTGAGTCGGCTAGAACAAAACATCCGAAGAAACATCAAACAAATCCAGCTTCCTGGGACGACATTTTGCACTAAGAGATCGTGCCCTGAGCTCCAAGTGTCCTTTGCAGTGGCCTCGTTCGAGGTATATTGCACTCCCGCAAAGCCCAAACAGCATCAAACGGCCATTCGGCGTAGATGTTCGGTATGTTGAACGTATTCTGTAAGTGGGAGCTGCGGTAGGTTTGGGAACGGTTTAGGGGAGGCTTGTTGGATTCATGTGGAGTCCCACCTTATATATACAAGGAACATAAAGGATGAGCTTTCTCACTGAGCTCAGAGATGCACGTTTGAGTTGATCTCGCGATTCTGCTGATTTGTCAGCGCAGCCTTCTTGGGCCCAGCTTCTTTGTCCCAAGGCTGATAGCTGACACTAGTAACAATGGAGAGTTCTGCGAGCGGGCAAATGGGCGCTGAATCCTGGATGAGAAGACACCAAGAGACGAGTGCATTTCTTCGTGTCCTGTATTTATGTTGACATAACCCAAAATGCACCTCTAGCGAAAATATCCTATGCCGAAGTTGCTTTTTGGACATTTATTGGTGCTTTGCTCGCAACATACGAGTTGCGAACGTCAGGTTGTCCAAGCAGCCTGCATTGTGTTTGGAAGCGTGTGTGCCAAATAGCTCTGTGCAACTCGAAAGGTGCGTGCGCCTCTGCGTGATGTCAGATTCGTCGCGAAGGAGCATTGGTGTGTGTTTTTGGTTGAAGAATGTTGAATATCACGAAAGCTAGCATGCTAGCTGAGTTCTTCTTTGCTTTAGCAATTGGTAGTGGAATGAGCTGCGTGCCTTAAAGCTTGATATATCACACTAAGGGGGGGGGCCCTGGCCCCCACTCTAGCGTGATATATCACGCTAAGGACCCCCCCCCCCGCGGTTCAACTCCCAGCTGCAGGCGTTTTGGCATTAGTGGAGGTGTTGTTACATGTTGGAAATTGTTGGTGTTTTGTTTGGTATTTTTGATTTTGGGGTGTGCATTCAAAACCAGGATGTGAAAGACATCATGCACTTGAATTTTGGATGATCCTGGGTAGCGGAAGCACACGTAATTATTGGAGAACCAAGATGACACACATGGGATTTTGCATGCGTTTTTGCAAAGCATCCACTGATTTAGTGTTTGTATTTAGGATTCATTGAGGAGCTTTGTCGGAAGCATGGTCAGCTTCGTCGGAAGCATGATCATTTGCTCGTTTTTTCTTGTGGATGCATCACGTAGCATTTCGGCTGCGCCTCGTCAGTTGATGAATCTTCATTACCTGAGAGCAAAGTTTGAATTTACTGTCTTGGACATGTGTGGTTTGGCAAAATTGTTGATTGTATCCATACCCGCCACATTTGCTACCGGCTATTACCCCAAGACACTATATTCCTTATACCTTTTACCAGTGTTTATCCTACACTACGGACGCCCTAGTGTATGTACAGTCCGTGTGATGTCAGAAATGCTCACCCCTCTTTCCGACCCAAGGCATACAAAAGCGGTGGGTAAATTTACCCTCCAGATTTACCATAACAGTAAACCAGCTATTTCATCTAGACACTCTTAGTGCTTGTATTTAGGATTCATTGACGAGCTTTGTCGAAAGCATGGTCAGCTTCGTCGGAAGCATGGTCATTTGCTCGTCTTCTTCTTGTGGATGCATCACATAACATTTTGCGCCTCGTCAGTTGATGAATCTTCAATACCTGAGAGTAAAGTGTTTGAATTTACTGTCTTGGACATGTGTGGTTTGGCAAAACTGTTGATTGTATCCATACCCACCAAATTTGCTACCGGCTATTTCTTGAAGACACTCTATTCATTATACCTTTTACCAGTGCTTATCCTACACTATGGACGCTCTAATGTATGTACAGTCCTTGTGGTGCAAGAAATGCTGACCCCTCTTTCCAACCCAAGGCATACGAAAGCGGGGGGTAAATTTACCCCCCAAATTTGCCATAACCATAAGCCGGCTATTGCCCCAAGACACTCTACTCCTTATACCTTTACCGTGTTTATCCTACACTACGGACGCCCTAGTGTATGTACAGTCCGTGTGATGTCAGAAATGCTCACCCCTCTTTCCTACCCAAGGCATACAAAAGCGGTAGGTAATCACGAAAGCTAGCATGCTAGCTGAGTTCTTCTTTGCTTTAGCAAATGGAAGTGGAATGAGCTGCGTGCCTTAAAGCTTGATCACGAAAGCTAGCATGCTAGCTGAGTTCTTCTTTGCTTTAGCAATTGGTAGTGGGATGAGCTGTGTGCCTTAAAGCTTGATATATCACGCTAACCCCCCCCCTCCCCCGGTTCGACTCCCAGCTGCGCCGTGTAGCGGGGGTTGGTTGAACGCGTGAACGTGGTTGGTTGGGTGTAAACGGTGGCTTGATGTAAACGGTGCTGCTGCTGCTTGCTGCTGCTGTTTGCTGCTGCCGCTGGTTGCCGCTTTTGTAGCTGCTGCTTTGCTACTTGTTGCGGCTTGGTGCCGCTGCTGCTGTTGCTGACGACGCCGCTGCTGCTGCTGCTGCTTCTGCTGCTGCTTGCTGCTGCTGACTGCTGGTGCTGCTGCTGCTGCTGCTTGCTGCATAGGCCTTGTACTTCACTGCTACAAGTTCTTTACCCTATTTCTAGCCTAATGCATGCATAAGCGGGGGGTAAATTTACCCCCCAGATTTGCCATAACCATAAGCCGGCTATTTCCTCAAGACACTCTACTCCTTATACCTTTTACCAGTGCTTATCCTACACTACGGACGCCCTAGTGTATGCACAGTCTCTTTCCGGCACAAGGCATACATAAGGGGTGGGTAAATTTACCCCCCAGAATTGCAATAACCATAAGCCGGCCATTTCCTCAAGACACTCTATTCCATATACCTTTTACCCGTTCTTCTCCTACACTACGGACGCCCTAGTGTATGTACAGTCCGTGTGATGTCAGAAATGCTTACCCCTTTTTCCGACTCAAGGCATACCAAAGCGGGGGGTAAATTTACTCCCCAGATTTGCCGATCACGTATCTTCGTGCCTGCCAACGAGTGCGCCCGTGTTGTTCCAATGTACCCTTGCCAGTCGGCGATGTCACATTTACATTCTTTGGCGCAAAGTGTCTACGTAGCAACCTTTCTCCCAAAACATGTAATCACGACATGCTTTGCCGACTATGTAACTAGTACATCCGGTGCGATTCGGCTAGCTTTCGACCTCCTCCCCCTGGCCTCAAGTTTTTTCCCCACCTGCCAGGTGAGGGTTGTTAGATTTTATCACAGTTGTTCTTCCTCCGCCTCCGCCTCCTCGTCCTCCTCCTTCCTCCTTCTTCCTTGCTTCCTTCCTCGCCAATCTGCTTTGCCGATCTTGTCTGGCCAGCTCCGGATCGTAGTGTGCACCCCTGGACCTCAACCACAAGGATCCCCTCGCAGTGTGCACCCCTGGACCTCAACCGCAAGGATCCGATCGCAGT